CTCTAAACTCCAAGACTTCGTTATTTGTTCTTCTTTGTAGGTTGAAGAGAAGCCAGATGTGACTTACTCAGATGTGGGAGGGTGCAAAGAACAGATTGAAAAGCTTAGAGAAGTTGTAGAAACTCCACTTCTGCATGTAAGGGATTTTATTTGTTTCTCCACATGTACTAGTATTCATTACACTTTACTAATTGTACCTGGCTCGATACAGGTAGCACTCTAAAAATATAAACTTTTTGTCTACCATTGCATGTAGGAAAATGTTTTGTCAACAAAATCTCATATAATGTGGTTGGTATTGAGCTGTAGATTCTTGTTCTGATTTGTTTAATGATCTTAAGTGATGAATGAGTCTCACAAACAATACACAGATATCTTTATGCCAACTCTAATAGACTAAATTAGCAGGCAAAGCCTTCCGGAGCAATGTCCTGATAGCTGGTTACAACTGTAAAAAGCATAATTACATGGAAATATAAGTAAATAATGTTCCATGACATCAAGAGAATGTTTGTATAAACAAAACAACATGGCTGGCTCCTTTCTGAGCTGTTCAGTGGTACTAAGACCTGGACGGGTTGCTGTACCCAAGTAAAGCAGTTAACTCTTCATTTACCATTTATGTTTTCTATAGCTACTGATGGATTTTGTATCTTTCTTCAGCCTGAACGATTTGTTAATCTAGGTATTGAACCTCCCAAAGGGGTTCTCTTGTTTGGTCCTCCTGGAACAGGGAAAACATTGTGTGCCAGGGCTGTGGCCAACAGGACTGATGCTTGTTTTATCAGAGTAATTGGATCAGAACTGGTACAGAAATATGTGGGAGAGGTTCGTGATAATCTCTGTGAATTTTTTAGGATTTCACTTTTTAGACTTTTTTTCTTGTTTCTTTTCTGTGTTTTTGTTAAAAAGTAAGGCTTTGTGTTTTGTAGGGAGCAAGAATGGTGCGTGAGCTGTTTGAAATGGCAAGAACTAAGAAAGCATGCATTATTTTCTTTGATGAAATTGATGCTATTGGAGGTAATTTTTTCATCTTTTCTGAAGAATGTGCAATTCAGTGTGAGGATAAAGCAGTTTTTTCAGTCAAAATGTTGGAGAGTCCACAACTTTTTTAAAGTGAAGACATGATTAGTAAATTCTTACTTACAAGATTATAACTGATTTCACTTGTAGGAGGGGATGTAGACAAATACTTAGTAAAATATCTTCTCAATTATTTTTGGAACAATATTATCAATATCTGAATCAAACCAAATAAATTTTGAGACCTTCACAAGAGAAACGAATTTTACACAGGTAGGAGACTTGGCTCTCTGATATTGAGGATTTAAGGGTTGGGATTATGTTCCAAGGATAGCATTTTTTTTGTGTAAATTATGTATTGCTAGTTCATGAACAATTTTTTAATTTTGGGGATTTCCCTTTACTCATTCCCCTTTGATAATTTGTGTTATTTTTCATTCCTCTCTGCTAGGAACTCGTTTTGATGATGGTGCTGGTGGTGATAATGAGGTTCAACGAACAATGTTGGAGCTTATAAACCAGCTGGATGGATTTGATCCTAGAGGAAACATCAAAGTTCTCATGGCAACAAATCGGTAATAACAATGGGAAATCACACAATTTTGAAATACCTTCTAAGTTTGGCTCATAGAGTCAGTTATTTACAGCTTTCCATTTGTGTTAAATGCAGTTATTTTATTCCCATCCAGACCTGACACACTTGATCCTGCTTTAACCAGACCAGGAAGACTGGACAGAAAAATAGAATTTAGTCTTCCAGATTTGGAGGTACATTCACTTAAATTAATTTTATATGTTCTTCCTTATTTTAAGCATGGCAGGTTATGAGATTTTCAAACCCATACACCAATCCTTTTACGTGTTGATTTTTTCAAGAATTCCAAAGGATTTTAGTCAGTAAGAAGAGGAACTGTGGGCTGTAAATTGAACTGATTATCTCCTGAAAAGGAGCACACTGCATGTTTACTTTGCCAAACTGAGGTGTGTCTATGATATAAGAGCCTGGATACAAGTCTCATGTGCTCTCTTCATGTCGTGCTCGTTTTTCAGGCACCCATGAGGCTAGGACAAGTATGCCTGTAAGAGAAATGGAGCATTCTCGTGAAGTTTCTGAATTTTTTTTCCAGGGACGAGCTCATATATTTAAAATCCATGCCCGATCCATGAGTGTAGAACGTGACATTCGCTATGAATTACTGGCAAGATTGTGCCCAAATACCACAGGTCAGTCACATTTTAATGTTGTGGTCTCATTGCGACACAAGTTGTGGGTAGATTCCAAGCTACATTAGTGTCATATATTTAGCGTTTGCTAACATTGTTGTCTGATTTCCAGGTGCTGAAATTCGCAGTGTTTGTACAGAAGCAGGCATGTTCGCAATTCGTTCAAGGAGAAAAGTACGTAAGAATGCTAAACTTTTGTTTTAGTCCCCGTCTCTATGGGCTTGCTTTTTTTTCTTTCTGACGTTATTCAGCCGGTACACAGCTCGTGTAAATACGGGTTAGTGCCTAACCGTTAACACCTTAACATCATTATGCTTATTCTTCACACTGTTCTCCACACATTTCCCCATAATAATAATAATAATAATTACGTTTGTATAGCGCAGACCTCTATATGGATATATTCAGTTGCGCTTCACAATATTGTTTAAGTAAAGTTATGTTAAAAGTAACTAAAAACATGAGAAACTATTTGAAGGCTAAATTAAAAAAAAAAGAGTTTTAACAGCAGTCTTGAAAGTGTCCAATATCTTTATGTCGCGAATTGTCGAAGGTAATGCATTTCAAAGATAAAGTGTAGCTGACTGGAATGCACGATCGCCAACGGGTCTTAGGACTAGGTGACTCGGGTAACAAAGACTTGTTTGAGTACCGGATTGCAATTTGATCCTAATTAATTCAATTAAATAATTAGGAGCTGAACCATGTAAACACTTTAATGTCAAAAGTAGAATCTTAAACTTTATACGATAACTAATCGAGAGTCAATGAAAGTGCAAAAGCATTGGTGTAGCGTGACAGAATCTTGGTGTTCCCGTGACCAACCGAGCTGCGGCAATCTGTATTCGTTGGAGTTTCATGATATGTGAATTCGGGAGGCTATATAGTAGACTGTTACAATAATCTACTCTACTGGTTAAAAAGCATGAACTAATGATTCGGTGACTAGACGACTTACATATTTACTAATTCTATGTGTAGAAAGCGGATGAGCAAGTTTTGTAAATATGACTTAGCATACTCATTTCCGAGTCAAACCAGGTTCCTAGGTTTCGAACTTCACATGTTGGAACAATTTGGAAGCCGCTAACCGATAAGATACTGATGTTACTGACTTTCTGAAACTGTTGTCGCGTTCCAATCCTAGGTGCTGACAAAGAGAATTAATTTTACAATCATTAGTTTCTTTAGTTGGTGATCATTTCCTTTATTATCGTGACCTTAATGTTTGATGCACGAGTGTCATTGTAGGGAGAAATTAGATTTTAGTCACTTTTAGGGTTTATAGAGTTCACTGGAGCGTATCATACCTCTAACAACGCGGCCAATGAGATAAAATGAATGGAGATAGGGAAACTATAAGTGATTCTGATACCATTCTCAACTTTTTATTAACGATTTGTTGTTGACAGGTTGCTACAGAAAAGGATTTCCTCGAGGCTGTGAATAAAGTCATCAAGGCTTACGCCAAGTTCAGTGCCACACCACGCTATATGACTTACAATTAGAAAAGAAGAAAACTGAGAAGAAACAAGCTAAAAAAATTTACATCAATGTTAGTCTCTAGTGAAGATATTAGCCGATTTCTCTCTCTCCACTCAGTGGAGCATTTTTGCAAACTGAACGTCATGTAGAGCTTTGTAAAGTTTATGTTTTGTTGTAAGGAGCTAGGAGAATTGTATATGTCACGCTCACTGTATGCGTTTGGTAAATAAAGTGCAAATGAACCATATAAAATGACGGCTTATTTGGAATCTTTTAGTGGCAATGCGTTTTGATAGAGATTCTATAGGTTGCTTGATTTCTATAACAAGTTGAGTGGCTCTGATAGTTGTATCTAATTCAAGAAAAGAAAAGTTCAGCAATGGAAACAAATTCAAGGAGGGATAAGTATCAGTGTAAACCAACCCAGCTTTGAAATTTCAATAGGGAACTTGTATTGTCACTCCCACAATTTAATCTTTTATGAGTGATACCAAATAGGACCATAAACTGCTCTTTTTCTTGATTACAATGTAAGTGCAATCGGTACTAGCGCGATGCGCACATGTGCGCCATCTTGAATTATGAAATAACTGAGAAATCTTTTAAAAGCAATCGTTTGGCTTTTCTATCGGTTTACTTGCGTAATACCCACTCGAGGTGTTATTACACCAGTAAACCGATAGAAAGTGCTGTCTATTGCTCAGTTGATAGGGGCTTTAAATGTAACAGTATTACGTTGACGTTAATATTATAATATTAATAATATTTTAAGAAGATTCTTTCTAAAGAGACCAGCAGTTGCCCCCTTGATAAGACTGCAAGCTCTTGGAGTGAAAAAAGATTAAATAGTTCCGTAACAAAACAAAGGAAGAAGCGAACCCTTTTAAAGGGATCGATTCTTCAGCGATCAGCAGCATTTGTCAATAAGGGATATAAAACGAAAGCGGAAATTTCGATTCAAGCAGAGACTGTCTTGAGCCCGGAACGCGATTGTTCATGAAATATGGAACTGGCATTCACGGCATTCACGATCGCCTGTATCTCACACGAGACAAAAGTTTGGCCACCGTGCAGAGATTCTGATTAATTTTAATAATAGACGACAATGTCTTGAGAAGGGTGTTTTCGTGAAAGTCTCGCGATCCGGTTATCCGGCATTCCACAAGAAGTCCAAGTCCAGAGTCTACCCTTGCAGTAAAATCAGGTGTGGCCGCGGGCAGTTCCAGTGTCAGATTACTGGGTCCGAGCGTTGTCACAGGAAGCAAAATTGCCCTTATTTGTCGAAATTTTAGTAAGCTCTAATTTGGTTAATGGATTCTTTTATTAGCCGTACGCATATCCTAACAGAATAGCTCCTCTATGGTTTCTATGCTGTGAGAGATCTTTCAAAATACTTTGAAATCTCGTCTTACACCATAATTTATCGTGGCAGGCGGTTCGAAGTAAGAAAGCATCATGGCTTCCCTACTAATTCTTTCTTCCCCGTGATATTCCGTCGTGGATGCATGTGTGATGGTAAGGCGAACTTAATTTTTTCTGTTTGATCATTTAAATTTCACTGATGATTTTGTTTCCGTCAAGTTATGTCTACGGCTTGCGGGCGTTTGGTTTTAAAAGCACGCATCATCTAATGAGTTTGATTTGCCCAGTCATGTTCAAATGATATAAATGTAGAAGTCAAAACTTACTTAATGATAAATTGTCAATTATGATTATTGCTATTATAGATGTAATGGAAAGGGCACTTAACGACCTTTTAACTCAGACTGGAGGAGTAATCGGGTCAATCAGAGACGAACAGCTGAATTTTGGGAAAGATATTTTTATTACCCCACACACTATTCCAAAATAAAATCTCGGTCCTAAAGGCCATCTGTTGTCTTGTTATATATTATGCATGCAGTTCTTGGGTGAAACAAAACAAAGTATGTGTTTATTTGGAAATCTTAGTTAATTTTATTTCCTGATCATACAGTGCTGAAATTTCACCCTTATTATTGTTCATATGGAAAATTTATGCTGCATTACTGAGATCAATGAGGCACAAGCTTTCTCTTTTTAGCTAAAGTCCAGTTTGCAGAGTATGGCAATACTAAACAAGATTTCATGCATGCAAAGATGACTCTGCAGGGTGAAATGTATGTTAAGGAAGGAAAACGTGGGGTGTGTATCTGCCTTACTCTGCAAACAAGGTTAGGGGTAGACTTAATCACCAGCTGCAGACTGGGAAAATAAGCCTGTGCTCTTAGCCTTGAGAGACAGAAATCAAGCTTACACTTGATTGTTGTATGTGAAATCTTCTCTAAATTTTGCTGAGATCTTGGTTATAGAATATTTGATCCTGTTAGCTTTGTAGTGCACCATCTAATTGGGAAACATTAAAATTTGAGCTGAGATTTCGGAAACCAAACCAACCAGTTTTAGCAAGCTGATATAACAGGACCCTTTGGCTGAGTTACAACCTGGAATTTAGTAGTTAAGTATAATTGCTCAGTTAATTATAGAGATGCACACACTCTGATTGGTCAAGGATTACATCATATCTTGCTGTAATCACTTGGCAAAAAGTGATTATAGCAGGAGCGCTAAATTTCAAAATGACTGACTTGCATTTTGTCACTGTTTCTGAGAAAGTGATAAACATAATAGAAGAAAAGAAGATGCTAGAAGATTTGCAGAAAACTTTGTCTTTGGGATCAATCAACAATATTCACTCCACCTCTGGCAAATAATTGTTTAACATTATAGAAACATAACTTGCAATGTCATTGCATAAATTTGCACCAATGATAAAAATCTTCAGTTCAGTGTCAGTTTCTTAGCAACTGTGCACCAACCTCCCTCCCTAATCTAAAGTTGGCCCTTACTTGTTATCAATCGGCTGTTGTTGGTTTAGGAGAGGGGTTGGTGCACAATTGCTGAAATAATGGCATCAATCCCAAATTTCTAGGCTCCTCAACTTTACGAATATTTGAAAAGGCAGTGAGCATAACTCTGGTACCATCCTAAGTCATTTAGCTTATAGTAACAGAAGCATATGACTCAGAGGTGACTATAATACAAGCCTCTGATAATAATTTTACAGCTTTTTTTTAATGTCATGGGAAAATTTGTTAAGGATTAGTGTCTTCCTTTACCCTTTAACTCCCAAATGTGATTATCATGTAACTTCTCCTTACAAAATCGATACGTTATCCAGCCAACTAGTAATGCGAATAATCAAACCTATCAGGTGGAAGTTGATAGCTTGATCCAACACCAACTTCTTGCAACTAATTCACAAAGAAATTTTTGTCGCAGCTAGAGGGAGAATTAACAATCACATCTTGGAATTTGAAGAACAGGATAGCCAGGGTTAGAATTTGCACTCCTTGGCCTGGCTTTTAGAGTTTTATGTGGCCTCCATCATCATCATAATAGTAATAATAATGATAATAATAATAATAGCTCAATAATGTTTCAAGCCTAATGTATTTTATTAGATTTAGTAGACCTGAGCTAGTAGCCAAGAAAGAAAAAAACCGTTCCATATTGAGACACGTGTAATCCTCTTAAGAAAATTGTACATAATGGATAGTTAAATGTTAAATTTCTCAGCAAGTAAATAGTTTGGTGTTTGAATCAGAACTGTTCCAAAGTCAAAACTTTATGCTAAGCTAGAGGGAAAGACTGGCTGGGCCCTTCCATTCCTTTAACGATTTCTACTTGGTTGAACATGTTTTTCTGTTGGCTCACAAGAAGAGGAGAGTGTATTGCTAATTCTTTACTCAGTGAACCTGGCATAGATTGATTCACTACATATGTCCCACAAATTCAAACTATCATTTGTCAAATATTGACAAGGGGTAATGGGGGGGATTGGTTGTAAGGGGTGTGGTCAAAAAGGTGGTTAATATTGTCCCTTTTTTTTATTGAAAGCAAACTGTGACAAAAGAGAAAAAAAAGCAACATGCAGCAAAGATCAGTCATTGGTTTCCACTCAGTTACCTCTGTCTGCATGGGGTGGCACTTTTCTGTTGATAGAGCAGTGCTGTTTAATTTTTCATCCATAACACTTCGTCCCTCTCCAGCAACAAATATTCAATCCTGTAACCTGAGGGTAGCTCTTTGTGCAGTGAGTTTTAACATTATGCAGTGTAGGAGACTATTTAATTTTTTTTAAATTTCAACTTTCTCTTACAACAGTATTTTACTATTTTTCAACAAACTCTTCATATGGAAAATCCCAGTCATAACATAAATATGATAATGATCACCTGTTCACCAAAATGAAGGTGACTATTTGTGTTAGTTAAAACACAGAGATAATGTAGTACATAAAGATGATTTGAACTCATTCATTCCTGCAATTATTACAATGTATTGTTGGGGGGGGAGGGAACAAATCCTGCGCAAGTTGCTTGAAGGCAAGTTGTGAAGGATATTTGGAGTTTGAGTTCCCAATCAGAGCGCATCTTCAACGGTACCTA